ATCATTGGAAAGCTTAGAAACTACACTTTCAGAGTCTGTAAATAACTCAAAATGCCTCTTGGAAGACTTGTTGCTGGTTTTCTCGTGGCTTGTCACATGTCAAAACACTAGATACATCGAGTCAGAAAGGTTAGTTTATACATTTTGGCATACATTTATACATTTGGGAAATCTGACAATTTAGAATATGTGTAAGCTAAAAAACAATGATGATGACCATGATGAAGATCACAAGTTGAGACTGGTCTCACATAGCTTTGACTTGGAGTTTTGACCTCTTCAGATTATTCTCTCTCTTCTCCATGCACTTAGGTGAAGTTGTTCTAGAAATCTCTACTAAGAAATCAGTGGCACTTTCAGTTTCTATGTCAGCTGTATGTTTACTCTCTATTTGTCTACTAGCTTTCAACAAGCTTGGAGCCCAGGAGCTCACTAATGGGAAAACTGTGGAGTGGGAAGTGTAGAAGCTTCTCAAAATATCCTCTGACTGAACCTCAGCAATTGTGCTCTCCAGGAGAGCTGATTTGCCAAATTACAGAAAATAAGTCAAATTTGTCTAGTTTACTCTGCTTTTATAACACAAGCCAGCATGTAATTTGTCCAGATTTAACAAGAGGCATTTTTTTCATTTTGTTCTTCACTCTTTTTCTTGTTCTTTATTATGTCCATTGGTATACTGTAAGCACTTTGTGATGGAACTGCCTCTCTGCACATTGGAAATTAGTTGGTGTGTGTTGGTAGGATAGAGCCATTCTTGAGAATTTGTACAAATCATGTTCTACCAAAAAAACATTTGACTTTTGTTTTTCAGTTAAATTTTTTTGGATGGAAATTGTATTTTGAAATTATTTCTATATATGAAATAAATAGAATTTCTAAAATGTTGGTGCTTATTTCATTTTGTTTAATTTATAAATTTGCGCTGTGCCCGAAATCACCTTTGTCCCAGACAAGAATTAATAACTACTGGAATGTTTAACCAAGGTAAATTGACATTAAAAAATGTGTTAAAATCCCTCAAAATCTAAAACTAACTATGTCTATTAATAACATAGGTGTAGAAATGTAATTATACTCATAAAGTTTTAAATATATATTTTTATGAAAATGTTGGCCCTTTAAAGTTATGTCCCAGATTTTTGTCAACTCCATCAGATTTATACAAAAACAGAATTTATTCAGGCATAAAAACAGTTAGCTATTAGTGATGGATGACACCAATGTTTTTAGATACCGATACTTGCTGGTACAATTTTACCGATACCAATAGCTATCATTTCTTTAAATGGGTATGTGATTTTTCTAAATAACTGTATTTACATTTAAACGCAAATTACATGGCACATACCATCCATTAATACAATTTTTTTTACTAGAATGAGTGCAGTTAAATAAAAATGTTTGCACACAAATTTCTTCATAATAAACTAATCAAAAATATTAAACAAGGCACTATATGTTGTCCTCACTGCAGTGTAGCAACTGCAGC